GAAGATCGATTCAATAACATGCATTTTCACATTGTATTATTACAGCTCAGATTGACATTTTCAGCATTTAAATTTATTAATTAGACCAATAATATATACAGTAATAATTTTTTTGGCAAAACAAAAAATTAAAGGACACAGATTTGTTTTTTGACTCAAGTAGATTTCTTCCTCTTTTTCCTGTTTACATTTTGACAGAATGTAAACCATACGGTTTTAAAGATTTTTTAAACATTTTTCATAATACAATTTCAATATTTAAATGAATATATTAATTTTATTGTGGTCTTAGTGTGCAACAGCGATTTCTTGAAAAATAAATACTGTTTAGGCATTTTAATTATTCATATATTACTGTGGCCTTTAATAATAATATAATGATAATAATAATAATAATAATAATAATAATAATAGTTCATTCTTATGATAGCGTAATTTACCTGTAGGCCTATAAGTTATTACAACTGTACTTTAATTGTTATCATTAATTACAATCAACCGCGGTTGAATTTTATAAAAATGATATATTTTTATCTTTTTTTTCAATCAGTCGAGTTCGCCTAAGTCGAATCTAATGGGACTGGCATAAAAAGTTCGAGTTATATATATATTATACAGATTTCGGCTTGCACATTTTCGAAAAAAAAAATATTATAAACATAGAAAATTACTATGTGTACTCAATGCCTACAAAATCGAATTTCACGCAAAACCCAACATTTTCTTAAGTCCCAAACTCATTCCTATTCTTCTTTTAATAAAATAATTTTCGAAAATATGAACTCCCTATTCCAAATCTCGGACAATTTGTCCAATTCAGGACGGTAACACTCACTCGAAAAACCAGACGATAGTTAAATAGACATCGTTTAACGACAAGCATACCATACGCTGTGAAAACGAGACGCTTAGCTATACTCGCATTGCCATGGAGATTATCTGTTGATTAACACGACACACCAGTAGACGTTTTCTTGGTTAATTTACGCATTCCAATGTTTTAATAAGTGTATATTCTTGCTTTTAATCCTCAAAAACCATTTGGAATCAACCTGTAATAAAGAGGGAACTCAACAAAGCAAGTTTCTACTGGTTACTCTTTTCAGTAGACGTCTAATTCAAATTCGTTAGATTCGTCGGTGTAATTTTCAAATGCACCTCATTCATTCTTTAAACTCAAGACGCTTTTCAAAACATGTTGCTAATTTAATTACGGTCGGTACAGAGGAAATTTGTAGAGAATAAAATATAATTTGTTAGGTTTATTTAGATTTGACTCTAAAATATACCATGAGGGTTTCTTATTTGTTTTTTGTTTTGTTTTATAAATTTGTTTAATTAAAACATTCTTGAAAAAACCAGGGAGATGTGAAAGATTACACCGAGCTTGTTACTGTCACGCACTATAAAACTTTGGGCGATCTGACGTCATCACAGCTGAAGCACATGTCTAGTAGTCTGCATTGCCCAACGAAGAATGTGTGCTTGGAAAAACATAATTAGACCTAAAGAAATACACGCAAAAACAATATAAAAGTCGCATCAGTTTTATTGGTAATAATTAAATTTGCTGAGCAGTACAGCAAAACAACAGTTACTGTAAGTATTACTGTATTAAATAATGTGTCAAAAGAATCCAGGGCTTTGATAAATTAATTAAATAGCTAGGCCCTGACTACAACAAATTGTTCGAAATGGGTTCAGTACAAGTTTTACAAACTAAACTGGACGAAAAACTGAACATTGGAGCCGGTCCGGAGGGGTGTCTGTATTGTGAGAGTAGACTGCAACTTACGACATACGATCATGTGAGCCAAGTTCCACAGCGCGCTGTCTGAGATGTTAGTTTGACATGGCTAACTTGTTGCCGTACAACTAGGATTGAACTTCGTATTTTCCCACGGCTGTGTATTTTTCCCACGTGCGCTACTAAATTTGGAACTTCGACTTTTGTGGTTGAAATTACTTTAAAATCAGCCTATCCGGACAGGAAAATTCCGTCGATATTTGTATTTCAGTATCCAATTGTTGATGTAGATGATTGAGGAATTGGATCCTAATTAATTACATGTGTAAATGGTGATTTAAAAAGGAGATAGAACATACTACTAAAGTGGGATTTAATTTCCAGAAGAACATTCAATAAAAGAAAGAAAAATTTATTCTATTGGGCTACACTATACTTTTGCGAATGTGTATGTAATTATTGTTTTAGTTTATCTTTGCCTAAATATAGTTTGAGGGGTGTCAAAAAAAAATATTGCGCCACTTTAGTTTTGCACTGTACCACTTTAGTTTTGCACTGCGACTGACTTTTGCACTGCGCCACTTGTAATTTGTCGTTCCATAGTGTTTGAAAGTTTGCACAGCTAAGTATAACATAAGAATATTCGATTGATTGATTGATTTTACAGTAGTGGATTCACCACACCCCCCTCCAACTTCTTAATTATAAAAGAAAAAGAGAAAAAAAGAAGAATTATAATAAAATTTAGGTCTGTGAGTGCTAAAATCAGAAATGAAAGAGTAAATATTTTAATGATGACCCACAATTTGAGGTGATCAATTAATTTTATTTGGCTTTATATTTAAAGTTTGATTTTTGGTGGAAATTTTATTTCAGAAAAGAAAATTTGAAACTTAATTTCACTCTTTCTAACCCATCATTAAACTAATTGCATTTACTATAAATGTTCAGTTGTTGCAGTTTTTGATTTTATTTGTCTCTCTAGAATCTAAAAGTGCATCGATCCAGTGGCAGTAGGGCATTTCCCTTCAGAAATTGGCCTGAATAAGTAAGTTAACACTATTGGTAAATCATAATAATTCAATTTTCATGTCCTCATTTCACAGTAAATCTGAATTACATGTCATTACATATTTAAAACAAAAAAAATTAAAAACAAAAGAAATAAAAATGTGGAAAGTGGAAAAATGCTCAGAAATTACAAATTCCATTCATATGTACATAGGATAATTAATTAACTATAACAAGATAAGAAAAGAATTGAAATTTCACAGCAAATATAAATGTAGGCCTATAGTTTAAGTGAATTACAAGGGAGACAGAGGAAAAAAAGATTTATTTTGGATTTACAGTATTTAGATCTTTTGTAAGCTGAGGAATTACACTGATTAGTGCTTTGACTTTACATTAGGTTTCAGAAATTTTCTGATATTTCATCATAAAATACGAAAACATTAAAAAAAATATTGAATTTTTTAAATAATGGAATATTAATATTTAAAACTAAATACTGTTGTTATACTTATATCTCTCTGTTTTTATTTTTTTTTTGGTCATTTTTGAAGTTTTAAATAAGTTGAAAAAATTCATCTGGATGTTAATAGTTAGTAGGTTGTAAAGGTCATCGCACATTCATCTGCTAGACGGAAGTAATGAAATGCAGGTTGAGAATGAGACCTGACAGGTCTTAAAAATGTTCTGTAAGTACTTCTTCACCTTTGTTTATTTATAAAAAATAACAAAAACATAACATGGTACAATGTTTGCATATCGGCTGTTTTTTTAAATGGTTGTAGCATTATTCCAGTGAAAATAGTCAAGTTTCACATAAATCATGTTCTAATAAAGTATTGAGGATCCCAAATGATCAAATAATTAGTTGTATCATTCTCATTAAAACATGGTTATGAATTATATATAACATTTTTTTGAATGTGGTATTGCATAGTGCCATGCATATAATTGTAAGTTTCATTTGCTTTTATAATTGAATAATGTGATAATCATATGCAATATGGTCTTACCTCAGCCCCAACTATGATTGGGCTGAGGGTATACACCCTCCATCTGTGAAAGTCCCTCTCTTGGCCCCTTCTATTTCAAATTCCTGGATCTGTCGCTAGTTGTGTTTGAAGGTTTGCACAGCTAAGTATAACATAATAATATTTGATTCTTTGATTGACTGATTTTACAGTGACCCCTACCCTTCTTAATTTTTTCAAATTAGAAAAAAAAAAAAGAATTATAATTAAATTTAGGTCTAAGAGTGCTAAAATCATAAATTTTCTTACCTCAGCCCCAACCACGGTGGGTCTCAGGTGGGCTAGACCCTCTGCGGTGAATGTCCCTTCTTGGGGCCCCCCATTTCGAATTTCTGGATCTGCCACTGAACAAGCAATAGCATCCTTGTACAGTGTACGTAATCATAACACATTTTGTGTGAACACCATGAAGACTCTTAGCCCATGCTTCTTTAATAATAGTCAGTGTTAGATTTGTTAAACCTAAATGCATTGCCATATATTCATAGGTTAAAAGATTATGAGATATTTATTTCATTCAGAATGTCCACCTTTGCCGCTGGGGTGCACCTAGATGTACAATTATTTGTAATATTTGTTTTAATGGTAACACATGCGATGACAAGACAGGTATTCTGTATTTGTGCCCCAGGGTTTAAAGGAGAAAGCTGTGAAAATAGTAAGTCCAAACAAATTGTTTTGGTATTTCATATCTACATTAAGTTTATTTCCAGACCTTGCATAATAGTAATGTCAAATTTCAAATATTTGAAAAAAATAAAATGTCATTTAAAACCAATAACTGGCTGAGTAAAAACAATATGTACAGATTGTCAACAGTTACAATTGACCACGATTTGAGATTTTTTTAAAAATTGTAAATAAATTAAAGAAACCGTGTATAAAAACTGCATCATATGACAGTAATCTTAAAGCTGCTTATATCATTGTACATCATTTTTGTCTCTCATATTTTTGACTTCTTGTGGAGGGCGCCATGAGCGTTTTACAAGTTTTACCGGCGCGCTTTACAAGTTTTTATTATTATTATTATTATTATTATTATTATTATTATTATTATTATTATTATTATTTCACCAGATAAAAAGCAAATTGAGGTGAGGCTTTGCTGGTTTATGATGAGGTTGCATCATTACGGTATATGAACATCTCGACCATGACCATAATGGTTCCCAATGAGACTGAAAGATCCTTCTGTCTTTAAAAACGCCCTGGTGCCATCCTCCCAAAACAGTGGACACAAAGAATTGCTGAAGAAATTGTTTAACTATACAGGTATGTCAACATTATTCAATGATCAATAACATTACTTATATATAGGTAGCCTCACAATGAAGCCTATTTTGAAAAGAAGCTCATTTGAAAGGGCATAGCATTTATTCGACGAGTTATAGTACTGTATACTGATAATTTTCAGCTCAATGTACTCAACTCATCATGGTTGATAGCTACAGTATATACAAATCATGATTATCACAAAATGACTTCTTAACATTCCCCGTGAACCCAGGAGTCACATAAATCTAAGGATGCCTAAATTGCAAATACATTATCTCTAGGTACAGCTGTATAACCTTAAGCAAGTACAGTCTAAAACTAGTGGAGGTATGTTTACACCCTAATGTCAGACCCCAGAGACATAGCAAATATAAAAATCATCTCTTTTTGGGTTGATCGTTGACCATGTGGCCAGATTTGCAACAAATCGCAATGTCTTTAAAGTTTAATGTATGTACGGCGAGACTTTTTTTATACCTTGATTAGCGAGCCTGCCGACTGCAAATGTTGATGATTTTGAATAAAAATTAAATTTTATTTTCGGCCATTTAGTGCACCTGCCGCCACGAAAAAGTGGAAATTTCAGAGAAAAAATAAAAGTTTTTCTTTATTTCTATTATGCCCTCCGCTGCCTTGAAATATCCAAAGACATGTATATTTCTTCCTAATTATATTACATTCACCAATAAAATTTTATTTTTATTCTCCACCGTTAGGATGTTTTTTTGGAAAACTATCGCTAAATAGGAAACAAAATGTTATTTTTATTTTATGTCTAGCCGCCATTGTCTAAGGTTTTCTTGACTTTGTGGGCGGGGCTTCGCGTCCCTTTTTTTTTTTTTTAATCTTTTGTGGGGTCCCACTTTTATTCAATATGGAATGGCCTTTAACACAATATGATATTCTGATATCCAATTTGATTAGTAGATAACTTTTCTAATAATTCGTTCGATTTGAATAAATCTATTTCCAAGCACAATATCTTTGATTTTTCTTATACCTGACCTTACCCAGTTTCTATACAATAGTGATAGACCATTGTAAGTTATCATTTTATTTCCCCAAATGTTTTGTTTGAGTATTTCATTGTAACATGTTGGGTATTTCATTATAATTTCGTTAAAACTAGTTAACGCCTTTAATACACCTATATAAAAACTAGGAATACCTTCACATTTGTTTACATTTAAGTTTTACATATTTTCAATATTGCAGGCCAATTTTGTTAAAATACATAGATGGCAAAAATTTCCACATGTTTCATCATTGAAAAGACGTCTAGCCCATGATATGTTGAAAGATTGCACTTCAGACCTGAAGTTGGGTGCTTTTATACCACCATGTTCATACTTGTTTATGAGAGTTAATCTTTTTATTTTTTCCGTTTTTTTATCCCACAAAAAGTCATAGACAATATTGTCAACTTGTTTAACACAAATTCGGGGGTTTCTAAAATACTAGAATTGTATACCAGCTTTGCTAAAGCTAATTGTTGTAAAATTTTATTCATTGTCGACATGTCAATTACTGGCACCCACATTTCTTGCCGATATCTTAAAAAGGCAAACACCATTGATTGACTATTAACACTCTTCTGTGAACTAAACAAAGAGATGAAATACTTGCAATAATTAAAACTTGGTCATAATCACTGTGTTGATTCACATCACCTCATATACTGTAACGCAGTAAGGAATTGTTCAATGAAGTGTTCTGTGTTGGTCTACCTAATAAGATTTAGACATGCATAATAAACACAAAGGCCAAGGCTTTGACGGGAGCTTCGGTTTTATTTTTTGTATCGGCTCAGTGAATACTATACAGAAAAACAACAATTTGCATACATACATATTGGTTTTCACGGTTCAATTATATTGGTTCCCACATTTACAGGCTTAATTAACATCGGTTAATAAATGACAACAAATTAATACAATTTCATAATACACATACCTACTCTATACAAGAAACCAGTAATGATGTTTCAGTTGCTACAATGTTGACATAATTAATATACAGTGTACAGTATACTGTTCAACTTTTTGCGAAATTAATATATTCTTTTAAGTTCACAGTAACCTTTTGGAAGGCTGGATTTGCTTGCTGTACATAGAGATAATGTATTACAATTTCGGCATTTTCAGACTTTGTATGAATACTAAAAAATACTGAAAAATTCCTTTGTTTTGTGTATAGCTACCTCCATGATACAGTAGCTACCGGGCTGTATTAATTGTTTAGTTGGTAATGATGTTTGCTTTGTTAGCGGCAGGTCCCGAGTTTGAATCCTGGTGGATTATGTTTTCATTATTTTTTTTATCAAATGGGAAAGATGCATGGGAATTTTATACATGGGGAATTATGATGTGGGCGGAAATACTGTATCACTCCCGGAGTGTGCTCTAGTAAATATTTTTATTGTTATAATTATAATTTTCAATATTATGTGTATTGTTTGTTTAATACTTTTATTGTTGCATGTATTATTGTTCTAGTTACTATATTATTATTATTATTATTATTATTATTATTATATTGTATATGTATATTGTTCTAGTTACTATATTATTATTATTATTATTATTATTATTATTATTATTATTATTATTATTATTATTATTATTATATTGTATTGTTATTGTTTTAGATTATTTTTTTACAAATGAAATAGTACAAAAATAAAAGAATTCTCAGGCTCATCATAAACAATTTCTCTTTTTTACAGTGTAATGATCAAAGAGAAGATGACAATCAATTATTTGAAGGTGAGTTTCTAAGAAATAAATGATATGCAAGATATAATGTTGTCATATAAACAGTATTTGTGAGGAATATTTATGAAATTACCTATTAACAATATTTTTTGTCTGGTATTGAAAGATGACTGGCAGTAATTATTGTCCCAGTACTGAAATTATGTGAATGACAATCCGCATCATCTCTAGTAATTAGCTCAGTTTTACATTTTTTAGATCACAGTTGGGCTAAGTGTGGCCCGCGGGCTGCATGTGGCCCGACAGTGATTTTTTTGCTGCCTGCAAAAACACACTAAAAAGCCTATGTGTGGAGCCCGGCAACCATCTTTGGCTAGAAAACACCTTTTTTTTTATGGCCCATCACCTTTCATCTATAAAAATCAACAACAACACATCAATACAACATCAACCAACTATTCTCTCAATCTTCACTGAACTGATGAGCCTATGGGTAATCAAAGTACTGAAACAGCTCTATTATAGTCCACACTGATATTTCTCTTTTCACTGAATATATTGCCAAGGTTTATGCTTGTTCTGTATGATCTCTCAGCAGCATGTGATACGGTTGATCACAATGTCCTGCTTCATCATCTTGAGATTTGGCATCAAAGGATATGCCCTTGACTGGATTAAATTTTTTCTGAGTTGTAAAGTAGTAGGGTTTCCATCTGGTGAATTCTCTGCACATCACATCCTTTACTTAATGTTGGTGTACCCCAAGAGGCTAAGTCATTGACCCCTGCTTATGTACTTTAGTTTGTACATTAGCCCACTAGGCAACATTATGGGAAGCTATATCACTTCAATGCTGATGATCTTCAGCTATATCTTCCTTTTAGTCCCTGAAATCTTTCTAGCATTGATTCTTTGCTCCATAAATTGCCCCACTGTTTTACCGATATTCAGAAGTGGGTGTTAGTGTGTACAGTAGGCTCAAGCTAAAGAGAAGAAAACAGTTTCTAGTCCTTGCTGTAAAATACCACCTTTCTCTTGATCAGGAAAAATGTATTGATCTTTCACTAGGAGTTACTACAGGTACCACCATGGAGTTATAAAATTAGAAATCAAGCCATCTAGCAGTGTCTACAAATTCTGAGGTTTCATTTTGCTCATCTGCTTAGACTTAGGTTACTTAGAAATCAGTGGCGAATCAGAAAATTCATTGATGGGGAAACCTGTCATGCTACTGTTGGGGCTACTTTTCAGGTTAGATTATTGCAATTCTCTGTACACTGGTCGACTGAAGAAAGATATTTCATACATACATTACATCATTTATATAGCACAGTTTGAAAGATATTCACACTCTTCCAAAACCTGTCTCTTATACACATCTAGATGTGTATAAGAGACAGGTGTACAGTATACTGGAGTGTATGTTAGTGCTTTGTAATCGCAAAGAATAAGTGCTAAAAAAGTATCAAACAAGTAACAAGTATATGTCCTCTCCTCTCCTGTATTTTAGGATGTACTGATATTTCTCTATTCTTTAAGATACTGCTAAAGCCTTGTCTGTGCTGCTGATAACAGTTTTCAATTGTTACCCTTTTTTTTTTATGTAGTCAAGGAATTTGGTACATGCAAAAACAACTGACAGCAACTCCTCAATTGAGTGTAGTTTATTAAGAAATTCATTTTATAACATCAAATAATTTTGCTCTCAGAAACTTAGGATGGAACATTGTTTAAAATGTTAAAGATCATCACCCCTATGGAAGGCAATCGCCGCCAAAAATACAGTTACAAACAAAGGTAAATATTCCTTTAACAAACGTCAGAAAATTGGATTTGAAATTCAGTGGAAGAAATGGATGGAAAACTAGGCTAGACATTCATACAAACAACATCCTTCTGACTCATTGATCATAGTTAGTCAAAGAAATACATATTCTACAATTCAGCAATTTAAGTTTGTCCAATAATTTTAATTATTTCATACAGAAATTGCAACAAAACCGAGTAACAGTCTGAAGTGTACCTCAAAATCAACGACGATCCATTAGTCAGCGCTTTATGTGGCGATTTGCCTAAGCGATAAGCCTAGGCCCCCTAGAAGGTCTCTCAAAACTCTTCATATTTTTAATCTGAATGGAAATCTAAATCGAGTCAACCTTAATCTCAAATCTATGAATCATTTGTAAAAATTGTCTACAAAGTATCTATGCTAACTTCATTACATTTTTAACAATTTAATATACACTACTTTCGACATCACGCAATTAGCATTAGCATTGCTCTTCGTGCGATGTTTTTATTTTTTCATAACCACTAAAGGAAATTGTGATGACGTCATCTTTGGGGAATAATTTGGTGTATTGCATATTATTTTAGAATCTTCAGAAATTGAAAAATGTTAAAAGATTATTAGTGGCCACCCTAGTCCAGTGGTGGACCGTAGGGTAAGTTGCAGGGTATGCTAGATATTGGCATATCTAGGATGTACAAGGGGGTCGCACGTCCTCCCCCTACCCCTAAAAAAATACTCTCCCATTCCCTAGTTGTGCCCCCGCCCACAAATCTTGTTTTAAACATTTTTTGTTGGTCAAAGTCAAGAACACATTTTTTAAATTTTGAATCATAACGTAATGTTGATGAGTAACCTTTAAAATTAAGATGAGGGCTGCGATCAGTGCTAATAATAACAATGCCATTGTAATACTGTATTACTATACTGAGTTGTACTACAGTATTTTGTTTTTTTTAGTAAGGTCATTTACAAGATGGAAGGCAGCTGACTCGTGTGGTACATAATGCAAGAATTCCTTTCATACATAATCGATAAAAGCTAAAATGGTGCCTGAGGATCATTACCAAGTAAGGATTATGAATCTTGTTATGAGTCTTGTTAAACTCATTCCTAGATCACAGCATATCATACCCACACTAACAGAATTGCATTCAAGATTTTTTGCTTGTTTACAAGACACTTCACCACTGGGCAACTTACAGCATGTAAAAGAACACGTCATACTACTTAAAACACTTTTCACACCCAAATGCCGTTTTAAAATTGTTGGGGTAAGGTCTTTTTGTGTTGCCGCTCTAAACTAACTGTGGAATGATCACCCAGTTTATATTCACGAGTCTCCTTCCTTGGCTACTTTTAAAAGCAGCTTAAAACTCAACCTTTTTGCATCCTTGTGATCCCATGTTTTCTCCTATGAACTGTCTTGTTTCTCACCTCTGTTTTTTTGGTAGGCTAGTTAGATATAACTAACAATGACAGCACCTAATGGAAGTACTGACCACCAGTGGTTTCAAATTGCCTAGAAAACAGTGCAATGGTTGTGGTTCCTTGCACTAGTCTGTTTATGTGGTTTTCCCTTTTTTTGGTTAATTTTAGGATAGTCTCTTCTATTTTATTTTCCCTATTCTCTGAATCTACCAAGTTTTCACCTATCTCCTATGAAACTGCTGGCAGGAATGTGCTCATATCTCATACAATGGGTTCCTACTGTATATGTCACAACAACATTCTGCTACTTTTCATGCTGGATATTGGATAACAACGAAAAAACAGCCAAAAACCACTTAATCCCATCTATTCTGTACCGCAGTGCTTAGGTTTAAAGATGATTGCGGCAGGCTGTAAAAGAACCAGTCTATGTTTCGCAGCTTCATTACATCACCGCGCAGTGCTTCACGTAGTCAACAAAATGAGTGAGCAGCATGTTCCCGTACCACTTCGGAGTACCCATTGCATTAAGTACTGGATATTACTGTATTCTTATGGCTTGAAACATCAGTAATGTGTTAGAAATCCATGAGGAAAAAAAAAAGATACACTTGGGCACAAGCAATGGTATAAGCTCGGCCTAAATCATATCGGCTATCCCTACACAGGCCTAGCCTATGATGTCGATGAGAGATAGGCCTAGACCTAGGGACCTACAGTAGGCTCAGGTTTAGTTAGCATAGCTAGAGCCTATCCTCTACCTCTTGAATCTTGGTCGATATGGATCGAGTCATTATGGATATTCTTCAGCAATGCTATAGTGCAGCGTTCCGCAAACTTTTTACTTCACGGCCTACTGTATTTACGACTTCAGGCACCAAGCCGCAGCCCAGCCGCGCCAGGGACCAACATACCAAATCTTGGCAAGAACTTTTGATCATGAAGCCTCCATGTATATACAATATTTTGACATCATTATCTGTTCTCGTAGTGATAAAATTTTATTGTATACAAATTAAATATTATTTATTAAAAAAATAATGCCGTACATTTGTGTTTGCCCCCCCCCCCAACAATTGTTGATTGTTTTTCTTTCTACCCTGATTCATCCAAACACGGTTCAGCCACACACGTCATAGCAGGGCCGTGGCCACGAGAATAGAAATGGTCAGGTTGCGAGCTTAGCGCAAGCACTAATGATTGGGGCTAGGGGGCCGCCAAGGGCCCCGGGTCGGGGTTCAGGTTTCCGGGGCCATTAAACTGTAATATTACTGTAAACCATTAAACTGTAATATTATTACATTAAGCCATTAAACTGTAATATTATTAACTAAGGCCAATCAACACATAACATAAAACATGTACATATCAAAATTATTATGTTTATCTTTCCTCGTCTATGCTTGCATAAAACGTGATTTGGATTTGGATTTGGATGATATTGATAAACAATTGAAATTCTCTGTACAATATTATGCTAAACATTTACAGAGTGGACTTCCTTATGTTGTGGTCATATTAGACTGTAATATTTTTTTTTTTATTATAAAATTTGAATATCTGAGATTGAGACAAAATCTCTACACTATATATACTAATTTAACGAGTGGACTTTCCTTGATTTAAGGAAATCTATATGTATATTGAGATACGCAAAGTTTAGTAGGTTAGAAGTTTAAAGGAGAGGACTTGTGTATTTCAAAGAATCTAGAAAACAAAAACTTTTCGAATATCTAAAATTTATCTTCCAGCGACAAAACAAGCTAGCTCTCTTCTCATGACTCTCCCAATATGGTAACCCATCTGTGCGAAAGCCAGGGTAAACTCTGGATCCGTGCTTGACAGGTATTTAATGCTTAAATAAGGTATATTTATAGTATATTTATTAATAGAAAATAATGTTGCATACTTGGTGAGTTGAATGGCCGAGCGGTTAGCAGGGACGCCGCAAGCTATAGCCATAATATCGGCGCTGGTTCGAACGGCACGCTCGCCTATGGTTCTGGTGGTAGAACAAGTCTTCTCGGATAAGGACTAGAAACCGTAGGCCCAGTGTATACAATGGCTCGTGTGCACTATAAAGAACCCAGTACATTCTTCGAGACGAGTAGGGGGTTACCCCGGTGTACTGGAACAGACAGCCCCTGTGGTGGACGACGAGAGTTGCTGGTACCGGGTTGCACAGACACGAAGGGACCCTTAGGGGCGAAGAAAGTCATTGGTCGAGTTCCTAGTCTATATTTCAAGAGCCCTGAGCATCTTACATTAGATGGATATGTGCGCTATATAAAACTACACTATTATTAATATATTAGAACTATCAGGAATAAATATGCAGATAATTAGGCTCCCAAAGGGGCATAGACACAAAAACCGCTTATAACTCAAAAAGCATGCATCATCATCTGGCACTTTAGCAGCGTGTGCATGCGACGCATTCGCTGCATTCGCTTTATTAAAAACTATTTTCTCCATGATAAAACGTCTCTTTATTTTTTTTTCTTCAATTTCCAGACCTCCATTTCCTCCAAAAATGTTTCACGGCCCAAATTTGGGCCGCAGACCATAGTTTGCGGAACGTCGCTATAGTGCATTAAGATAGATAGCGAAATTAAAAGTTTAAATTTAGGGTCAAACCAGCTCGATACCTCAAATTTTCATGAACATGTCGGGGCAATGTTTATTTATGGGTTCTGTTGAATGTCAGTAGTACAGATACATAGCCTTACATGCATCTACCTACCGACATTTCTCCCACGTCCAACTAGGTTAGGCCTACTGTATATTGCTCTACTTTCACGTACAAGAGGGTAGCCCAACACAACTGGGGAAGATCCAGTAGGGGAGAGGGACGGCACGGGGAAAGGGGGGCATGTGCCCACCCCATTTTGCCGGTAATTTTTTTTTATTTGAATGCAATGTTATGTGCTATTCGCCTATTTTTTCTGAAACTGTTGTTATTATAATGATAAATATAAATATGTAGCATACTCTGGAAATCCTTGACCCAATGGAGGATATTCAAACCGATTGGGTTAAAATGACCGTATTCAGCACTAAACAACATATGATCTATACGAACATACCTACAGTAGTACCCCGAGATTCATCCGATTTAACCTCATATATTCAAGGTCCAAAAACTGTCTCCATAAACCACTTGAATAACCCTGAATCTATTATTCACCTAAAAAATCACTAAAATTCACTCTCCTCAAAATATTATTTTTGCATTATTTGCTTACCACAGGCCACTTCAGACAAACCGCCTGTTTTTGGTTGGTAGTTGTATGCGGTATATTGCAAAAAAAGAAAAAAGAAAGAAATCTTGTACTTATTTTATATCTATATAACAAACTTAAGAGCAACGGAATAGTGCTCCCCATACAACATAATCATTATGTAGAAAGAATTAAGGCCAACGCTGGATGTGTCCATTAGCTAAGGTTGGCACTGTAGATTTTAACCCTAACATACTGTACTTCTTCTCCAGGAAGTACATGTGAAATCACTACTCCCAGACCATAAGCCACCAACCAGACGCATTCGCATATTCACATCATAATGATATAACAACTTGCTATTCATAAGCTACATTTACTATAATTGAATGCCTTTTCACATGCAGAGGTCCATTTTCCGGTTACCTCTTAACATTGTAAGTTATTTTTTGCAGAAATTTTCCATAATATTTATAATTTGTGACAGGCTCTGGTTAAAACCCTTCCAGTTGTTGCAATTTCCCACAAGCACCCGAAACGTAATGTTTTTGCATTTTATAAAAGATTTCATTTTCACTTTATTTATTTAAAAAACAACACATGCCAGTATTACAAATGGTGGCCCAGTCGGCCAAATTGCTTGTAATATAACAAAAGGCAATATATAAAAAATACAAAAATAGAAATATAAAAACACATCTCTCAAAATCTCTTTAGTGGTCCAGGGGGCATAACAATTTAGGGGTTTCAAATTTTTTTATCCCATGTGTAGGGTGGTGACGACGAATAAACAAAAAAAATAATAATTTGCCTATCCAAAACATTGTTTTGCGGATTGCCAATCCCAGATTGGTCTAATTTGGGCTATACTATGCAAAGCCAAATAAAAATATACACTCCCAGAGGGAATTGCGAACTCTAGCACCAGTTCACAATTCGCATCAGACACACTTGCCCGACCAAAGCCACACTGACATACCAGCACTTATACTTACAGCTAAGTTTAACAGGTAGCGAATAAAAGTTAATTTTGTATTTGATGCCTACACAGTGTTAAATTCTTACTTTATTTTTTTTGGCAGTTTTTTGAGAATCATTTACAAAACAAATTTCTATCTACTGAACAATTAGTCCACGACCGACACTAGGCTGCCAACCACCTCACCATGCAAATGATTTTGATAAGGCCAAAACATGCCCAATCATCACGTGCAGAGAATCACTCAAATGAAATTTCCTCCATGGTAGTACGTGTACTAAGCATGCGCTAGACACGAAAAGATGTCCAACTGATCGAAAGAAATGATACGCAATTATATAGGCAAACAACTCCATTATCACTAAAGCCATTGCACGTTTCAAACAAGCCTGTCGGCAATGATCAGTACACAGAGTGTGTCTAATATCGTGAAACGTACTAGTAACAGAACGTTTTTAAATATATTTGATGATGCTTTCAACTAATGTATTACTATTAAAACATAATATGTTTTTCATTTTTTTTTATAGGCAAGAAGACTGTACAGGCCTTCCTGATAAATACACCAATTCTTGAGGGGATTTCTGAAAACGACAAGAAGTAAAAGCTGTAAAACAGTATATCCAATGAGCCCAAAAAACAAAGGTAGAAAAAAAAAGAATCTGTAAGGTCATTATGATTATTATGCAAATTCGTCTCAGGCAAATTTAAGGGAGCAAAAACCAATAAAATCAAACCCTCAGCAATTACTGAAGTTTTATGTAGCATTTTGCATTTGGTTTTAGAGCTTTTTAAACTGAGGTAGATTCTTATGTGCTCAAAAGAGGAACTGCTCTAGTTTATTGTACAAATGCTCAATCATTAAGTGAAACCCTAGTCACTGCCCCAGTTTTAATGAGTGTTGTACAATTACCAATGCCCTGATAGTTGACTTCCATGCCACTATTCTGACTACAGCATTAATTGTAGCAACTAAATTCATAACATTTGTGTTGTATAAAAAAGAAATTGCATTTTTTTAAGCCTCCATTATCTATTAATTTAGAACTCCACCAAAAGTGCCCATCCCAAAAGCCCAAATTTTTAGTCAGTCACTGGCAGCCCCGGATACATTTGGTACATTTTCGAAAGAGCCCCCACCCCAGCCAGCTGCATCCCCACACGCCACAAATTGTTTTCACCGCCAGGCCCCATCATTACGCCACTGAAATCATTGCTTTGGGTACTTGTATTTAATGAAGAGATGCTACTTTATTTTTAAAGACTAAAATTAGTATTCTTTGTCTAACAAATACTGATGGTTTCGAATAAAAATAAAATTTTATTTTTGGCCAATTAGCGCGAACGCCGCTAATGAAAACGTGGAAATTTAAAAAAAATAATAAAAGTTTTTCTTCATTTTTATTATGCCCTCCGCTGGCTTGAAATCTCCAAATATAAGATATTTCATCCTAATTATATAAATTTGAATCATTTAACCATCCCTTTTTACATTCACCAATAAAATTTTACTTTTATTTTCTCCTCCATCTGGATGTTTTTGAAAACAAAATTTTATTTTTATTCTGCCCTCCTCCGATGATCTTAAAAACAATAAGTACACGAAACAAGGAATAAAGAAAGTCTCGCCTAACAAATACCAGTGGAAATCAGCTGTATTGGGTTATCTTGATGTCAAATCAAATTCTTGTAGAAATGTAATAATTTAAAAATGTATTTTTTGTATTGAACTAGCACTCTTACTAATACTCTAAGTACCCATCCCAGAAACCCAAGTACTAAGGTACTTGAACACTAGTATTTAGAACATGTACTGTATGGTATTTTGTTTAAGATTAATATTGATGTACCATATTTATTCGAATAAATAATAAATAATTATTAAAAAAGGTTTTTGAGGGAGTGGTTATTCAGGGGTGGGTTTTTCTTTAATATAAAAAGGATACATTATACAAGGATACATTCCACTCAAATAACGTTCCTTAATGTGAAAATGCAACACATAATTACTATCAAAATATGTTACTGCATAATCATAGACATATTGATCCAAACTATGTTAAAAAATGTAACTCTACTGGAGTAGCTTATTATTAATAGAAAGTGTTGAGAATGATTTTGTTTACAGTCATTTGGTGGGGGAAGGGATGGCAGTGCTTATTCGAGGAAAAATATAAAAACTTGGGGCATTTATTCGAGGGAGGTATTTATTACAAATGAGGCTTTGGATGGGGTGTTTATTCAAATAAATTGGTAATTAAGCATTTGTTTGATACTTGTTCTTGATCATGCTCTAAATGATTAATCTGTATACTGTAAAATACAACTGGAAGTCAAACCTGGTAATGTTTTATGAAAATAAAGATAAATCAAATTGATGGTTGAGTGAAGGTGCTATTCTGTCCTTGCTGTTGTCTGATTTTTGATATATCAAATTAAATCCTTTATATGCAGTTAACAAAGTCAGTAAAAGCAAATAATTTACATTACTTTAATAATCTTTTTTTTTATATATAATATTAGTCAGCAGTTTCTTGCACACAAGACCTGGCCCTGACTGAATTTAACGCTGGTATAGAGCATTTTTCTTTAGGAAATATGGCCATTTGAGAAGGTGGTGACAAACCACCACCATACACTATAGTGGCTATGAATAATCAGAAAGTAAATTTAAAGTTAATAATACTTTAGTATTCCCAGAAAACTACTTTAATTTGTTTTACTGTACCATACTTGCACAAACAAGCGCCCGGGGCACTTAAAAATTTGTTTTACACCATTTGAGAAGCGCTTATTCAAGTGGGGAGCTTAAGAAAACAGTGGGAATATAGGAGGCGCTTATAGTAACTTGGAAATTTCAAGGAGCACTTTTTGAATGAAAAAGATATTATTCAGAGTAACCCATGAACGAAGCCTAGATTAAGTAACAATGCGTAGTCGAGTACAATTATTGGAAGACAATATTAAAATAATAATTAACTAACTCTCACGAATAACTGATGCAACTGAAAGAAAATTAAGTCGTTGATATACTGTATATGTATACACCTGTCTCTTATACACATCTAGATGTGTATAAGAGACAGGCCTATACGAATTTATAAAGTATGGCCATCCTAACAGAACAATACTAAACCTTGGCTAGACCTTATTATTAGGCCTCGGAGGAGGTTAAGTCTATCATTCTCTCTAAGGCCAACCTAGGCTAGCTAGGGTCTACCCTAGCCAGGCATATCTTTTCTTATATAACTATTTTCTTCTTATGTTGTTAAAAAAAACTATAAAAAAATAAATAAATATAATACTATTAATAATAAAAAGTCATGAACAAAGACAAATACGACCCTCAGAACTATAATTATGAAAAGATATAAAAACGGTCGTCTTAACAACGCTTATATAACTACTACCTAGTTAGTTTAGGCTCACCGCCGCTCTCGCTGCAGGACTAGGCGAAGGCCTAGGCTATTTATTTATTTATTTATTTATTTCTATTTCGTATACAATTTACAATCGACAGCGAATGACTGAATTTGATTACATTACAATATAAAAACATACACATACAGAAAAAAAAGCATTGATATTGATTACTATACAGATGTGTATAAGAGACAGTATATATATATATATATATTTTATCTCATTGGATGTTGCCAACTGCGAGCGTGCTAAGCCAAGCTTTATTACACAACGCTAACCCAGTTTGTCCATTGAACGATCACTGACAGCAAATAATACAGAAAAACGCATTTTTCAGGAGATGTGCAATCGATTCGTCTGTCTTGATATTAATTCCAGGCAACAGCGCACAGTGGGCCAGAATTGTTTCAAAGTGTGTCAAAAGTCAATACTCATAAGAAAATACTGATTATGTTCATGTTAAGACTGTTTTAGGGGTTTTCAAACCTGCTGAAATCAATTAAACTATTTTAAAATATGTATGATGTCATCAAATTACCGTTTTTTGATTGGATGAGTAAAATATTCATTGTAATACCTAGGCAGATTCATATTACCTTGGTTATTAGAACATATGAGGGGTTTTCTAACCTGTAGATTTCAACGCAAGCATATTTAAATATGTATGACGTCATTAAAGTATATTTTTTTATTGGATGACGTAAAATTTAAGATCTAGACAGAATAACTTGCCAGAGCTCAGTATGACACGAATGAGGGTTTCTAGACCGGCAAATTCAAATTAGAACATTTTACACTTTATGTGACATTATTAAAATACATTTCTTCAAAGAAAAGGGTGGAAGGTGGAGTTTTAAGAAGACACCTGCAGCACCCCCTTAGTCCGCGTCCACCCCATCAGTCAGCCCTTACCAGTGAAAATAAGCACAAAAGATCACGGTCAAACAGACTGAATGTACCTAATATCGCTATAATTTGCGTGAGCAATAATTGTTGTATTTGAATAGATGCTAAGTAAATAAATGAAAAAAAGAAATTAAATGAGCGGTCCCACTTCATCGGGCATTTACCCCCATCCCATCACACTCACCTTGGGATGCCCTTATAATCTCCAGAGGCAATTTGGCTTCAGATTTAGGATGGAGTCAAAATGTTAAAAAAAAAATAAATAAAAAACAAAAACAAAAGAGAAAGTGTGGGAAAAAAATGATTCCTAGAATAATTGACCTCAAAATGAAAGGGGGTCGAGGTCCTCCCCGGAAAAATGTTGTTTCCTAAATGGCGAGAAATGAAAATATTTTAATGACATTTAAGTTCTTTCCCTCCCTTGAAAACAGTCATGTCAACTTTGTCATTCTTATTACAGTAAACAGGCCTATGTGTGTATAAAAAAAGAGTAGTTGCATACGTAGACCTATTTTGTTTTCCATGAACCGATGAACCCCAAATAGGACGGTGGTGGGAAAATTGATTACTTTATGTCGGGAAACGGGTTTTCTCAACTTCTAAAATTTTGGTTTCCCTCTCTTGACGATTTTTAATGAATCAATGAACCCTAAGAAGAAACCGGGTGATAGGCGGAATCATGTTAGCCCCTGGACAATTTTGATTCCTAGATTGCGGGAAGTGAGCTTTTCAGACTTCTGAAGTATCTTTTAATGACCTTTAATAAAAACAAAATCAAGGTTTACCCTATTGAAAACGGTCAGGTAAATTTGTCTGATTTTTAATACAGTGTGTAGAGGTATAAATATGATTAATTGCTTACGCATTTTTTTTTCTTTTCTTTCTTTTTTTTTTTTTTTTTTAAACGGGGTCCTCCCCCATCAAAATTTTGATTTAGCATTTCCGACATTTAATTGTCCAATTGTAACACAAAATTCAATAATCAGCTTACAGGGCCTGGAAAAGTAAGTCTAGAATTATTTTTTAAATATTTATTTATTTAATGTTTTTGTCCAAGGGGGTGTGGTCAGGACCCTGACCCCTCCAGATCCACCAATGATCTCCCTCCCCAATTCACTCCTAGATATGACACTGGAAATCGAGTGTTTTTACATTTGGCACCCAATGGCTGCAGTAATGATTTTATCGTATACCTTAATTAGAAAATGGCGCTTTTGTAGGGGGTGGTGGGATATTAAATCGCTTGCTAAAT